AGAAAAGCATAGCCTGAGGAGACTCAAGAGAGCTGCAGACTCTGAAAAACTGAATCAGCAGCAGCACTACAAGAGAGCTAGGCAAGATGCAGCAAAGGCTGTATGAGGGATTTACATGTCCCCAGAGAGAGAGAGAGTAAAAGACTCTTATCTCTGGTTCCAATTTTCTTACGTTTGAGTTTTATATATGTATCCTACTTTGATTCCCCATCCCTTCTTGTTGAATTAAACCCTACCTGTATTTTAAGCTCTATTTGTGAATGCTTATAGGTGATTGGCTCCTGCCAACCTAGCAGTTTGAACGCAAGAAATTGCAAGTAGATAAATAGGTACCACTTTGGTGGGAAGGTAATAGTGTTCCGTGCGCCTCGGCGTTTAGTCATGCCAGCCACATGACTGCAGAAACGACTTCAGACAATGCTGGCTCTTCGGCTTGGAAACGGAGATGAGCACCGGCCCCTAGAGTCGGATTCGACTAGCTTTCGAGCAAGGGAAACCTTTATTATAGGTGATTGGAGGATCTGGGAACTGTTTTGGAATTGTATTTTGCCTACTGGTAATTTGCCCCCTTGGTTAGGAGCAGTGGAAGCCAGTGGGTGGGAGAAACGGCTGCTCTATCCTTTTTCACAGACACCCATTCCAGTAACCAACCCAGGGCTCATAATTTCTTTCCTCAGCAGGGGCTGAGGGGAGAAACTGGGGTCATGTATGCATGTACAGAAGTATAGCTTTCTGGACATATTCTGATTCTGAATAAAACATGTAACAATTCATGCATCTCACAAAGTAATATGTGGTTTCTGAAACCTTCTGCCATAATAAATCTTCAAGTTTCTGCAAGTCTCTGCTGTTTTGTCCGAAACCTATTTAGTTACTGCAGTTTTCCACAGTACTAAGTCAGCTAAAAGTGTGAGGGAAGAGAGGCCAGATTTGGTTTCTTATGCAAGACTATTCTTTATGCCTCTTCAGGAGTTACACTTGGATAACTTGTCTAAGAGATTTGCACAGGTGTCACATAGGGACATTATGATCTTAGGATATTTTAAGAGAAGCAGGAAAGCGGTGGGTGTATTTATTCAAGCTAGAGTACTGCAGGCATTTCTGTGACACTCAGGTCAAACAAATGGCTTTAGCGTATTTTAACAGAAATGCATGGCAGCTCCAACTCAGAATTTGCTTATGCACTCTAAGCCATCCCTGCATATTGGCAGGACTTGTAGTAAATCCAAATAAAGCCAGAGCAGCTTAAAGAAGCCGCATGCAGCAGCTCTATACATTCAGTCTAGGGCAGCTTGTTGAGGCTGGTGCAGGAGCTGTGCATGCATTACAACTTTCAAAACCACTGGCTCCATTATACGCCTTTCACATTACCATTCTAAATTGGATGTTATCCGTTGTTAGCCCGATTCCAAGTAAAGTGATATAGGGATGGGGGTTTCATACTGCAAATTTCATTCCATTAATTGTTCCTCTGGAACAATTTCCATGAGCATATCTAACACCGCATAGGATTGGGCTATAAGTGGTCAGTGTTAGTTGTGTCTACCCTTTCATATCCAGCATGCTCCAGTTTGATGTAGTGGTTAAGATTGGCAGATTCTGATCTGGAGAACTGGGTTTGATTCCCTGCTCCTTCACATGCAGCCAGCTGGGTGACCTTGGGTCAGTTCTCTCAGAGCTGTTCTGTCAGAGCTCTCTCAGCCCCACCTACCTCACAGGGTGTCTGTTGTGAGGAGGGGAAGGGAAGTCAATTGTAAGCCGCTCTGATATTCTGAATGAAGGGCAGGGAGCAAATCCAGTTCCTTCTCCTCCTCCTCCTCCTCTTCTTCTTCTTCTGCCTCCTCCACCTCCTCCTCTGCCTCGTCTCTACAGTTTAAGCACATACTCATTGTAATATAATTGTAGAAAAGGCATCATATCCCTGTGCATGTCCAAGATGGATTTGTGTCTTGGAATAGTTAACTTCCAACATATCATAAGTGAACTTAAAATACTGCTGTGCTTAGCATTTCTTCATTTCTGCAGAATGCGCTCCAAGAAGTGATCAAGCGTTTGCCCGTTAGGACAATGACCCACATTATTTGCTGTTCCAAAGTGCTCAGCATACATTATGTCAGTAACCCATATAATAATCCTTTTGCACAGCAGCCAGTATGATTACTCCTGTACTACAGACCAGAGGTGGAGCATAAGTAGCACTGGCTTGCATAAGGTCAGCCTGAAAATCCATGGCTAAGATTTCAACTAGGTCTCATTGGCTCACAGACAACCATTACACTGCATGAGGTAGCATCAGAGTAGAGCCTTCAGATGTTCTGACTTCCAATCACTGTGTCTGCCACAGATTCCCAATCCCGCCCTGAGCCTACAATGTGGGGAGGGCGGGATAGAAGTCTAATGAAATACATAAATACATTCCACAGAATTCTAAGGGACATTACACACTTGCTTCAGTTCATGAAGGGCACTTCCCAGATCTACGGGAGTTCAATATCACCACACACAAACTGAGACTGTTCTCAAAACACACCCCAACGCCTTCTACATCTGCAGAACAGGGGAGGAAGGTAAATCCCAGTCTCCTCACATACACAAAACAGGCATTGAGTGGGCTCTGTTAAGAAATGTTTGCCTGCAATGTGAGGAAATGCTCCTTTCTTGCTGTCATTTATGGGTTCATAATGTGTAGGTGTGGCCACTGCTGTGATCCCTAAACATGTCCATCACTCAGCGGGCAACTAGTAAGGGAAAGCAGTCACCTTTGATAAAGGGCTCAGCAGTTATCAAGGCCAGCTCTTCACCACAAAGCATCAGCTCCCCCACACCTCCAACCAAGCCGTGGAATTCAGACCATAATTATTAATTTCAATTTGTATCCCACTCTCCCCCACTAATGTGGGGCTCAGAGCAGGTTCCAACATATCATAAAACATACATCCAAGTAAAACATTTCAGTTAAAACAATTCAGCAAAACAAATTCCATGATGGCCCATATATTTACTGTATTGCTGCTCCAGGGAAAGACCGGGTGTGTGTGTGTGTGTGTGTGCAAGGTAGCAGAACTGAATGGGTGGGAGTTCCCCTGACCTCATCCATACACTTGGCGGTATAACTCCATCTTGCAGGCCCTGCGGAACTGTACCAAATCCCGCAGGGCACGGATCTCAGTTGGGAGTGCATTCCACCAAGTTGGAGCCATCACTGAAAAGGCTCTGTTTCTGGTTGAGGCCAGGCAAATACTCCTTGGATCTCCAGTGTGTTGTTATTAGAAGAGCATAATGCTCTTTAGGGGGTATGCCAGGAGAGGCAGTCCTGTAGATATGTTGATCCCAGACTGTATAGGGTTAAAACCAGCACCTTGAACTTGATCCAGTACTCAGTCTGGGTATGTCAAACAAACAGCGGAACAATGAGAATTGGACACCAACATTAAAGTACCTCACAATTTTAAAAATGTATTTAATTTTCAACTTCATTATACACTCAGGGAAATCAAAGCCATATAACACCTTTAATAGCAATAAAGACCACCTTATATTCCCCTCTACTTTTCATTCCCTTCCCTGTCAGGCATTTTGTTCCTATTTAGACAGGTTCACTTAGCATTTCTATTTTTAAAAAAGCCTAAAATATTGATGTCTTTCAGATGAATATTAAAGGTGGTCTGTAGGTTCTGTTTTTCCAAAATAGGGAGCCACGGCTCAGTGGCAGAGCATCTGCTCGGCATGGAGAAGGTCCCAAACTCAATCCCTGGCATTTCCTGTCAAAAGGATCAGGTTGTAGGCAGTGTGAAAGACCTCTATTTGAGAAAGTGAAGAGCCACTGTCAGTCTGAGTAGACAATCCTGACCTTGGTGGACAGATGGTCTGATTCAGCATAAGTCAGCTTCACAGTGTACCTACATACTAGTTATAAGCAGCATACAAATAGAACTTTGACCACAGAGCTGGTCCTTGCATCAGCAACACATGATTTTGTAATAATAACAAAAATGCAGGTGCCGGTTGGGAGTCGGACATCAGTTAGGATTACCAGCCCCCAGGTGGGGCCTGGAGTTCTCCCAGAATTATAACTGATCTCCAGACTAGAGATCAGTTCCCCTGGAGGAAATGGCAGTCTCAGAGGGCAGACTCCATGCCACCACATCCCTGCTGAGCCCCCCCCCCCCCAATCTCTAGGAATTTCCCAAATTGGAGTGGGCAACCCTGGCGAGCCACCCCACTAACCATCCCAATTACCAATTACCAACCACTGCTCCTCCACTCTTCAGAAGGCGACATGACAGGAGCATTCCCTGAGGCACCACAGCGCACAACTGGACGGCTATTTATTTATTTATTAAGTAAAAGAGTCGAATGCGTCTTCCAGGCGGGACAACGCAAGATTTTAAAAAGTTTAAAACAAAAAAAAAAAGCGAGGCCTAATATCTCAAAACCATGAAATGTCTCCCGACCAGTGTTCCCTCTAAGCTGAGTTAGTGTGAGCTAGCTCACATTTTTTTAGCCTCCAGCTCACACAGTTTTGTCTCGGCTCAGGAAGGATGGCTCCAGAGCAAACTAGGTTAAGCAGTAGCCAAATCGCTCGCTCACAACTTTAATGCCAGTAGCTCACAAAGTAGAATTTTTGCTCACAAGACTCTACAGCTTAGAGGGAACATTGCTCCCGACATGTTAACCCTCTTGACTACAACTGACCAACAGGTATGTATCTCTGAACATTTTCAGCGCGATGGAAATTTCCAATTGCGGTACTCCTGAAACCGCGAACGGCTCCTCCGTAGTTCAGAAAAAGAGTCTGCCTCCGTTTCCCATAAACCTTTCGACTCTGACGTCCTGCTGCCGCAACCCTGCTTTTCACGTGACTGGGCGCGGGATCCATTGTTTTGGCCAATGGGCTACAATGTCGTATTACCTGGCTGTTGCTAGGCAGAGTTCGGAGTAGTTGCCTAGGTTTCCTAACCCAGCCGAGGCCTGCAGTTTCTAGAGACAGAGATGAAGCCATAGAAGCAGTCGGGGATGCTGGATTTCGGGGCAGCTGTGCGCCGTTATGGAAGGTGATAAGGTGAGCGGCCTCCCGACGAGAACCAGGGAGCAGAGGACGATCGATGGTCTAAATCTCGTCAGTGTCTGGACTGTCCGACCGGGGATGCTTTTAGGCAGATCCAAAACTATTGCCATCCCCTTGTACCGTAGATTAATAATTGTTAACTGAGACTGTCAAACACATTTACTAGTGAGTAAGCCTATTGAGATCAATGGGACTTTCTTCTGAGTAAGCGAGCACGGATTGCACTTCAGGGCATGCTTATTTAGGAATGGATTCCAGGGAATCTCACTTTCAGTTTGTTCCAAGTAGGCACGCAGAGGCTTGTGCTACTACGCATGCTTACTTGAGAGTAAGCCCCGCTACCACTGGAGTTAGTGGCATTTGCTTCCAAGTACGTATATGTAGAATGGGGACTGTAAAGTGGAGTGTGCGATGCAGTGCGTTCCTAGGTACCTTTTCTGGGAAGTGAGCACCACTGTATTTAATAAGATTTATTTCCATTTGAAATGTGCCTGGTATCCCTCAGAGTTGCTACTGCATGCTCTGGAGTGCAGTCAGAGAATTGGGGGAATTGGTCATTTTGCCCATAAGTGTGTACTAGAAGGATGGCAGAATTTAACCGTACTCCATTAACAGGCACAATTGTGAACATGGCGTGGTAGTTAAAGGATACAGGTGAGTAACTGATCTGGGCTGGATAAACTTGAGTTTGCACCTCTGGTTTGTCAGCAACCAACCACAGCTATTGCTGTGCTCTCTCCATGACTCCTCCAGAGCTCTGAACTTCTGCTGCCGACTTCATAATAAGCCGTACCTCCTGTCATTTCCCCAGACTCCTGTCTCATTTGTAGGACAGAATTTGTTTTGTTTATGTGGTAAACAAATCTACCCCACAAATGATGCTCTGGGGACAAGGAAACCCCTGATTTCCTGTTTAGGTTTAATAGCATGGTTGCTTACCTTAGTAGCCTTCTTTCAAGTCACTTTTTTGTGCTCTTTACCTATGCAGCTTAGTCCTAAATACATGCTTATTAAATTCACTGGATTTGATGCCAAATAAATATGCAGAGGATGGGCATGAAATAATATCCATTGATAGTTTCATTTGCTTTGAATAACAGAGAGTTGTTTTAAATTCCTTGCTCTTTCAAAACTTTTAGAATAACTTAGGCTGCGGTCACAAACACTAAATAATCCACTTTCAATCCACTTTCAGTGCACTTTCCAACTGGATTTCGCCAGTTCACATAATAATCCAGTTGGAAAGCGCACTGAAAGTGGATTGAAGGTGGATTATTTAGTATGTGTGACGGCAGCCTTTATCTCCCCTAAAAGAAAAGAAAATCTGGGTTTTAGTGGATTTGGTTCTGCTGAAGTTAGCTTGACTTGAAATAAAGTACATAGGCTTAAAACTGGGTTGTAGATTGGTGTACTTTCCTAGTCCAGCACTGCTAAATACTGATGGAAGAATTAAAAATGTTTCTGCTGTTCTTATTTTTAATCGGGATAAAGTCTTTCTTACACTTGTTGGGATTGTTGTTTCAGACAGAAATGCTTGCATGTGTTCTGGTTCTTGCATGTGTCCGCCCTGTTCTAGTATCCCAGCCCAGCTGTATAATTTTGTTTTACTAGGAATCTTTGCCCTGACCTGGATAGCCCAATGAGCTAGCCCAGTCTCATCAGATCTTGGAAGTTTAGCAGGGTTGGCCCTGTTCAGTATTTGAATGGCAGGTCACCAAGCCCTGAGTCCCTTACACAGAGGCAGGCAATGGCAAACCACCTCTGAATGTCTCTTGTCTTGAAAACCCTATGGAGTCACCAAAAGTAATAAATGGCAAAAAAAAAAGATTCTTTGCTGTTTGATTAAAATCTTGTAATCTTCTTACCAATTGTCATGTTACCACATTTTGTAATCTGCCTACTGAATGACTGGAAAGCTTTTTATTGTGATCTGCCTTGGATCCCAGTGAGAAAGGGGGATTATAAATTGAAGTTATAAATAATGGATGAAAACATTGAACAGGCCGTGTTTTTACATCAGCAGCTTTTCAGTCTGAGCTGTTTAATACACAACGTTTGTCTTATCTCCTGTAGTTTTGTGTGGGAAAAAGGGTATATGCCACTATATTTGAATACGCAGTGAACATAAGAGTGATGCTGGATCAGACCAGTGGTCTTCGTAGTAGAGCATCCTGTTTTACACAGCAAACATACTGTTGCTTGGGACATGAGCAACAGACTGGGCTCCGAGGCCAAGGCTCTCCCCAATGAAATAGAAACTGGTATGATCTTTATACATGACAATCTACAAAATCTTTCCTGTACAGAAGTGATAACTATGTAGGAAAGATGCCATGTGCGATGCAGTCCTTAATAAGCCCCTTCAATGGTTTCATTGAAGTAAATAAGATTTACTAGTTGTTTTGAGTTCACATTATAGATTTATGCAAGCCCTCTTAATCTCATACTTCCAGACTTCCAGTCCCCCCCCCCAACACCACCCAGTGCTGCTAGCACTATGGGATAAGGATCAATTCAGATGTGGGTAAGTTGCCATTATAGCCCCTGATGCTCAAAAGACAATGTGTGAATACTCTCCAGGTTAAGAATATCTATATTCTTTTTCTAGAGAAGAACCAGAGAAGACACTTGGAAGTCAGATGAACTAAAGAAGCATCTTAGGGTAACATTTATAAAATACTTGATTAACATAGTTCTTCTATTGATATTTTTTAGTGATTTTAATGCCCAGTGTGCAAACAGCTACATTTTAGACATGCACATACAAAAAAAGGTAATAAAAAGCTCAGTAGCACCTTTAAGACTCATCTGTTGCTGCAAAATAGTAAAAAGCTCAGTAGCACCTTTAAGACTAACAAACTTTATCGTAGCATAAGCTTTCAAATCTGACGAAGAGAGCTGTGTTTCTCGAAAGCTTATGCTACGATAAAGTGTGTTAGTCTTAAAGGTGCTACTGAGCTTTTTACTATTTTGCAGCAACAGACTAACATGGCTAACTCCTCTGGAAAAAACCAGTAGGTATTCCTAGTGGGGTTTTTGACATTTTTCTGAGAATAGCACAATAACAAATTTCTTTTTAAAGTCCACTCAGTTTCCAGAACGGATTGTCCATGTGGCATTGGGTGTTTGCTTGTCAGTAAAGACAAAGACCCCCTGCATGTGTGGTCTCATAGCACAGCTCTTTGGATCTCAGCGAAAGAATGTTATGTATATGTTGTCGAAGGCTTTCACAGCCGGAGTTCATTAGCTGTTGTAGATTTTCCGGTTTGTGTGGCTGTGGTCTTGGTATTATAGGGCTTACAATGCCAAGACCAAGGCCATACAACCCGGAAAATCTACAACAGCTAATGTGATGTATGTATCTCACACCTCAGGGTTTGATGCTGTTGGTTAGAATTCAAAGACATCATGATCCATTTGAATGTCTGGGAGAATCTGAGTTTTACATTGAAATTTGAAATTGCCTATGTTGAGAGATTTTTGTAGCTTGTAGATGTGAATGGTTGTTAATTAAATATTTTGTACTAGGAGTGAGAACTTGCTGAAATAAAAATGAAATGCTTGCCATAGGTCAAGGTTAGCAAGCAAGGTAACCTGCTGATCATATCCCCATCCTCCACCCCGCAACTTTAGCCCGCACCTGGTGGCCTTTCCACGTTTTAATCAAGGTGTGGTAAAAATTCTTGCTCCCAGTTTTCACTTGCAAGAAAAAGAAACAACAAGGTTATTATATTACTCATGTGCATTCTGGAAAGGTAACTCCCAAACTGTCTCTTGAAAAGATCTTTCAGGAAACAGGTATTTCTCAGCCTCCTCCAATGATGACCTTATAGCATCCAAGCATCTGTGATCCGTAGTTACGAAGGCTTATTTCCCAGTCAATGCCAACTTTAATAAATATATCCTGACTATCCTAGAGGGAAATGAATTGTCTCAGTTTCCATATTCGTGTTTGAAAAATACAGTGGTTCTCAGGAATGCAGAATTTGGTTGTTTCTGTCATAGAGTAAACTTGAGCACTGGAGGAACAGAGTTAGAGGTCACTGCTTGTAACCAGTGTAGTAAATGAAAGAGTAACAGTCCAGTAGCACATTAAAGACTAACAAAATTTGTGGCGGAGTATGAGCTTTTGTGAGTCACTGCTCCTATTTGCTGATCTTTGATCGTAATAAATCGAATTGATTGATTGAGTCACTGCTCGCTTCTTGTACAGTAGTTCGATGTCAGGCTGTGACTGTGAAGTCCTGAGTTGAATTCCTCACTCTGCCATGACCCTACTAGGTGAATTCAGCCTAACCTACCTCACAGGGTTGTTGTGAGGATAAGTGGGGGGACCATTTACACTGTCCTTAGATACCTGGAGAATGCATTGGGGGGGGGGAACACAAATAAACTGCAGCAGCAATGCCAATATTGGAATGCATTTTTAAGCTGTTGTAGGATCTGGATCTTCTATTGTTTGGGGACCTCAGCCATAATTAGTGAAAGATGAAACTCAAAGGATGAGAAGCCATATACAAAAACAGGTTATTATTGTTCCCGGTTTCATTTTTACAGAGATCCCTGTCAAATAGTCAGTCTGACGACAAGAGACATCGAGAGAGAAAACTGCGAGAGAGAGAAGGCCATGACGCTGATGACTACAAAGAACCAGACAAGGACAGAGTAAAATCAAAAGAAAAAACGGGAGAAAAAGCAAGGTTTAAATCAAGTGAAAGACATAGAGAGGAACAGAAAGACAGAGGAAGAGAAAAAGACCATCCCAGAGAGCGAGAGAGAGAAAAGGCTAAGGCAACTCACGACAGACACACCAAAGAAGAAAAACACAGTGCGGGGAAAGGTGGAGAGCGACACAGTGGAAGAGAGAGGGAGAGGAAGCACAGGAAAGATGATCCTAATCATGCAAATGTCCAAAATGCAACAGAGCTTTATGGGGAAAGGAATAAAGAACCCCATAGAAGACAAGGCAGCAAGGATTATGGAGGTGGGCTGATTTGTGCACTGCATGCGTTTTGGAATAACAATGCCATGATTGGCATTGTGCTTGGCTATTTTCAGCAAACTTGGTTAGAGTCTACTCTGTGCCTAGGTTCTCCCCTGCTCCTCTTCTGCTTTTTGAAGATGCTTTGCCTGTAACAAGATGGCAGATTCAATAGACAAGAGCAGTGTTCCCTCTAAGCTGAGTTAGTGTGAGCTAGCCTACAGTTTTTTAGCCTCCAGCTCACGGATTTTTGTCTTAGCTCAGGAAGGATGGCTCCAGAGCAAACTAATGTATGCAGCAGCCAAATTCCTCACTCACAACTTTAATGCCAGTAGCTCACCAAGTAGAATCTTTGCGCACTAGACTCCACAGTTTAGAGGGAACATTGGACAAGAGTGTTCTTAACTCTACTGTTGTCTTTTTTTAAACCAAGTTCCTCTTCAAAATTTCAAGCTCATCCCATGATCCCATTTCTGCTTTGGATGGAATCTGACCACACCTGAGGGACACTGCCTAATTTGTGATGTGTTCAAGTCTTTTGCAACCTTCTCCGCACATGCATCCAGAAAGCAAGCTTTACGGCTCTTCAGGAGGGGCAGCCCACCACTTGGTCCTTAGATATCCTTGCCCTTCTTGGGTGTGTTTCCTTCCGAGGCCCCAGAGCATGTAAAGGATACAAAAGGGTTTGGAATGTGTCTTGATAGCATGTTTGCAGGGAAACCTAAAAAACTGGCTACTCTGTTGAGGCAAATATTAGATTACTATGTTTTCTTAAAGTTCCCAGCAGTTCCTCACCCCAAGGGTTTTATATATTGCAGTCCTAAACAACCCTGCTTTTGCAGTCAGTGGGCTTAGACGAGTATTATATTGCTTAGGAATGCACTGGTAACTTGGCTTTTATATAGAGTGTGTGGATATATTGTTGTGAAATATGATAACTAAACCTGAGATTTTTTTTGTTGCATAACTGTGGACATTGTTCCATATACATAGTTGGCAACACAGTATCAGGGGTGATCTTACCTATGGACATCTTGGGTGCCGCTTGGGGGGCACTGGGGATGACAGGAAGTGATGGTCATGGTAGGAAATAGGGTAAAGTCGAAACATAGAATGCAGTCCATTTTTGAAGAGGCAGTCATTGTGAAAATTGTGTACTTTATTGTTCAGAGTAGATTCCGTGGTGGAAATAAAAGGGGTGGGCCTCCTTGGCTTTTGCTCAGCACCCCAGAATCACTAAGGATGCCCCTGTATAGCAATACTCCAGTATACTTAAGGAAGCCTTATTAATTTTATTGATGGGGTTATATTTTAGATCATTTGAAAATAAGAGATGAAGAAAAAGAGAGAAGGCATTCGGAGAGAAAGGTAAGAGGAGGAGGAGGAGGAACATCGGGACATGTTACGCAGCAACATAAGAGAAAAGTGAAAGTAGCTAATAGATTAGGCAAAATCTCCCATTCCAATGGAAACAGCACCTCAGTAGGTAAACACTATTTGTATTTTTCAAGAACATTGCAACCTGTTTCAACATGAAAATAAGTCAGATTTAGCCAAAATTCAAAAGAACACACTCCCAAATTGCTTTATTTGGAATTGTTACACAGTAGTTCCACAATGGCATTTCATGAGCACTGTCAAGAATATATCACCAGCTATGATGATAATGTACAATTTATCTGCTAATGGATTAATGCAAGAGCTTGTGAATGTGTTCCAAAGAGTGAAATTTGTTCTTCAGGATATTAGTTGTAGCTTTCAAGAGTTTGGAAGATCACAGTCCCTACTGAAATTTGTGTACTGAATGTATCAGAATACAAAAATGGCCTTTGTCACTTAGAAGGTTTGTTGTTGTTGTTTTGCAAGTACAAACATAATAAAAATTGATGAGGCATAGTACATTTTTTTTAAATGCTTAACAATGTAGTATGTCTGAACCTCAGATATGTTGCTAGGTCAGGCCAATGGAAGAGCATTTGCCTGTTATGATATCGTCACCCTGCAGAGCCCAGGGCGATCTGACCAGAAGTGACCTTGCCCCTGCTGCTGTCACACAGACGTTATACTTCTCAATTCCATGAATATCCCAAATATTGTTTTGTATGTTAAATTAGGCAGGGTGTTTGGTAAAGCAGTCAAATAAGTTCAGATTTGATGAGAATGTAATTGAATACATTTCAGTTTTCCCTTTTTAAAAAAGGATGTGTGTGTGTGTGTGTGTGTGTCCCATGTCTTCAAAATTTCCAGAGCTTTTACATCTCTGTCAGGAGTCAGGAGGACATAGGAATGGTTGTCCCTCATCCCCTACTTTGCAGATCAAGGAAGTATAGAACCTCTTTGTGGTATCCAGAGTACCAGGCAACTGGTTCCCTGAGTCTTAGACACCTTTTTCCCAAGCCGTATTCCCCACCCCCAAGATGCATGGCTTTTGAAAGTGAGGGCAGATTGTGCTTGAGCCCTGGAGTCAATTGTTCAAAGGAAGAAAAGGTTAGAATTCCTCTGCGGTAACACTAGACCTTTGGAGTAATTTGGATCTTGAACTATGTATGGAAAGAGCACATTTGCTGCCATGAGCTGGACTTAAAGCGCTGAACCAGACTCAGCCTAAACCTGCTGAAAAGGAGAATTGGAATGACCAGGTTAGAGAGCTTGCACAGCCTGGGAGCTGGATGAGGTGGTGTCACGGCTCAGGTGGGGTGTCACCTGACGCTGCCACCACTCTGGTTTTAGGATCCCTTGAGGAGGCCCAGAGCACCCTCCCAAGACCTTCAGACCTTCCTTATTTGGCCGAATAATAGGTGTGAGGACCAGGCAGAGTGAACAACAAATAAAAGGAGGTCAGCCCAATATGGGAAACAAGGTGCAAGAATAGTAGAAATAAGTGGGTGAAGAGAAAAGAAACCAAATGCCCTAACGCGACTAGACTCACAGTCCCTAGTTCACTGTCTCAGTTGGGCCTCAGTTGGGCCTCACCCTTCCCCTCAGGGTGAGGGTCTCTCCCAGCAGCAGCCTTCCCTCTGGCCCTGCTCTCTTGGAAGAAAGAACAGCTCTTCTTCTGTACCAGCTCTTTTATTAGAAGTCCCCTTTCTCTGTGATCGCCTAAAATGGGCGCCAAAACCTCTCAGGGGCTTTGGGGAGTTGTAGGCCTGGCCTCCTCCCACTGCTGCTCAGGCTCCCTGGGCCTGCTAGGCCTTTACTTGCACAGCCCAGATCATGACAGGTGGGTTCAGTGTTACTATTTCTGATGTTGTCCTGACCCAAATGTTTTGTATCATGTTTAAAACCATTTCTTTTGCAGAATGAGGAGGTCAAGAACTATGAGGGCAAGATTTCAAAATACAGAGATGAAGAACGTGAACACAGACGCAGGTCTCACACGGAACAAGAACTTGACAAAGACAGGAGGAGAAGGCACAGGGAAAAAAGAGAACAGGAACACTCAGTGGCGGAAGGAAAAGAGAAGCATCTGAAAGACAAAAGCCATAGGGATGAGGATGACGGGGACGAGGGCCACGCGCACAGGACACACACGGCGCAACTTCTCCATAAAGACAGACGCTACAGAGAGAGCAGTGAAAGGCGGCAGAAAGAAGATGGTGAAGTCAAGAAGAGAGACCACAGGGTTAGTGTTTTATTGTCTTTAGATCCATAGCTTTGCCAAGAAAAGTTTTATTCAGGAACTTTACCATTTCGCCTGGAAAATAGCTTTGGAGAGGAAGTGATTTATTACAGGCTTATCTTTACTTAGGTGAGAATATCAAGATACTGTGGCTTGAGTAAAAAATTATATGACATTTTTTCCCCCACAAAAGTAAATGATAATGTGTATTTTGATGAGGTCAGTATAAGCACTGATTAGTTTTTTTACTTATTCATCACGTTTAAACCCCATTCTTCCTCTGTTGGGCTTAGTATAGCATCTGCTGGTTGATCCCATTTTATCCTCACAACATCCCCGTGAAGTTTACTACTGTCCAAATCTGAGAGAAATCTGCTTGAAGGCATTGTCATATTCTTGTTTTCCCTTGCATATCTCTTTGGCCTTTTTTAAGGTAATTTTGCCCCTTTTCTTTGCAAGAATTGATTTATGGCTGTTTTTTATTTTCTCTCCTGGTGCTTGCGAGTGTTCTTTGTACTTAGATGAGCATACAGACTTTTCATGTCCAAGGCAAATGTAATGTTGGTCATCGTAATTCTGCTGCTGTGTTTGTTGTCTTGGTTCATTTCCCTATTCTCCAGTCAAGTCAGGATACAGCAGCCCCTGACAAAAACAAGAAAAATCAATGTCAGAAGTATAAACAAGAAAACAAATTCCCTGAAGTCTCTCAAACCTTACTGGTCACAGATATCTAAAGCACATTTTCCCTTGTAGTTGAAGTACAGCTGTAAACTCACATCCTGATCCTGCATGTGTTTACTCAGAAATAAATCTGACTGCATTCAGTTATTCTGGGTTTCCCCCCCTGTTCCGACTAAGTATGTAGAGAAGTGCAGCCATTATCTGGCACGAGGGCTCTGCCATGTTATGGCACTTGGCTGCATGTTGCATTTATTCATAATGTTCTGCAAACATGCAAGGGCCCCACCAGAAAGGGAGAATGTTGTAAGCCACTCTGGGCTTCTACCGGGGAGAAAAGTGGGGTATAAATTATGAAAATCTGTTGTGGGGGTGTTCCTCTACTGCATGGTATGTTGTTGTTCTGGGGGGAGGAGCTTCCATTCATGCAAGATAAGCATTTTGCACAGAGCCAAAAAGCACCAAATATAAGCACTGAGCAGCGGCTGGACTGTCTCTGCAGCAAATGCGATCAGTGCTTTGGCTTCAAGCTGTGCTTTTTCTTTAAAAGAATGTAGTTGTTGCACGTATATGGAACGTTGCAGGTGCAAGCTGCGTTTCCTGTCATTTCGATAGCATGCCAAGTGAAGCAAGCCAATATAAGCATTAGCCTTAATCATTGCCAGGTATGGAGCTTCACTTCTAGTTTTCATTTATTCCCAGGCACAATTTAAAGTGCTGAGTCTTACTGTTAAGGATCTGAAGTCAAGGCCAGTTTGGTGTAGTGGTTAAGTTTGCAGACTCTAATCTGGGGGAACCGGGTTTGATTCCCCACTCCTCCACTTGCACCTGCTGGATGACCTTGGGCAACCCCTAGTTTGGAATACTCTGTGCAATTCTGGTCACCACACCTTAAAAAGGATATTATAGCTTTGGAAAAAGTGCAGAAAAGGGCAACTCGAATGATAAAAGGGTTGGAACACTTTCCCTATGAGGAAAGGTTAAAGCGCTTAGGGCTCTTTAGCTTGGAGAAACGACGACTGAGGGGTGACATGATTGAGGTTTATAAGATTATGCATGGGAAAGAGCAGGTAGAGAAAGACGTACTTTTTTCCCTTTCTCACAATCCAAAAACTCGTGGGCACTTCATGAAATTGCTGAGCGGTCGGGTTAGAACGGATAAAAGGAAGTACTTCTTCACCCAAAGAGTGATTAACACATGGAATTCACTGCCACAGGAAGTGGTGGCGGCTACAAGCACGGACGGCTTCAAAAGGGAATTAGATAAGCATATGGAGCAGAGGTCCATCAGTGGCTATTAGCCACAAGGTATAGATAGGGGCTCTGGGGCAAGTGATGCTCTGTCTTCTTGGTGCTTGGGGGGGTCAACAGTGGTGGGAGGGCTTCTAATGTCCTGGCCCCACTGCTGGACCTCCTGATGGCACTGGTATTTCTGGCCACTGTGTGACACAGAGTGTTGGACTGGATGGGCCTTTGGCCTGATCCAACATTGGCATCTCTTATGTTCTTATGTTCTTATGTTCTATAACGGTTTGTTCTTCTTTAAATAAATCTAGGTTGCAGTCACACACACCA